TCGGAGGTGGGGAATGCACAGTATCGTCTTTGTCTGTCCAAGGAGGAATTGTAGGAAGCCTGTGGCTGATCGAGATGTCATCTTCGCCTAACTCTACATCGAGAAGGCCGGCCACTTGTTTCACAACCTCATTCGTCACGGCTAACCGGAATTCCTTTGATTTCGACACATTCTCGGCGCATGTATTGCTCTTGTTCATCCAGGAGAACTACATTCTCCTTAACTTTGCTGATAGTAGTATTAAGTTGAGCTTTAAGGGCATTGTTCTCCAGCTCAAGAGTTTTCACAGTCCTCTCGAGGTTGACCACTTTCTCCAACAACTTACGATGCTCGTCGTCTTTAAAGTTCAAAGAATTCTCAATTGGCTCTAGTTTTAGCCTTAGTATTTTCTCCAACTCATCGTGTGTAACATGCACAACCATTATGGAATAAGAACAATGACAAAAACGTAAAAACACTACACAAAACTTCAAAAAACTTAGAAAATTTGATGGCCGTCGGAAGGCACGTCCATATTGTTTGCTGACTCCTGACCGACGCTGTCAGCTGACTGCTCCTGTCAGCCGGATTATCGTATTATTATTATAATAATTATCATATTCTGAGAAGACAGCGTTTTAAAGCTTAAGCACACTGTTGATGAGAAGCGAATGTAATGTGACAAGTAAATTGTGGGACGGGTTTGTCAAAACTGAACATGGCATGGGTGTGGAGTTGGTTGTGGGTGTATTAACCAAGTCCAGAACTTGTGTCCTATTGTTAAGCACCTGTACTTGTACAAATCCGTAAACAGACAATTTCATATTCTTGTCATTCATAGCGTTGTTTGACCGATGTGTTGAGTGAAAAGTCTTGAATTTGTCTTTTGTTCTATACACTCTTGAGACACTAAAATCGACCTACATGTATTTAAAACATTTTCGAGACTTTAAAGCTGAGGAAACCGCTCTTGATAAAAAGTCTGGAGAATGTCTAATTTTAATCTAAGAATGTCTAGCTGTAAGGTAAAGTGAAGGTAAACTTTATTTCATAAGTAGGTTGAAAGGGGGTTGGCAGCCGAAGGGCTGATGTGGACCTACTACACACAAAATTTAAAATTTTACAAACATGAAAGATATTAACAAAAGAATAAGAACTATGTACAAGCAAAATTAATATATTACATAAATATCAAAATGAGATTTACTGAAGAACCTAATTGAGACAATAATACCAGAAATTAAAAAGATTAAAAAGATATAAAATCATCCTTTTTTGCTGTGATCAAGTCGCTTCCTTGCTGAAAGAAAACCCTGGAGCATTATGTCCCTGACGCGTTTCTTTAATATCTACTTAAAAGAATAAAAATTTTCAGGTACTTGAACTAATCTATTTAAAAAATTCCAAATTGCAGGCCCTAGAGTGTACTGTAAAAAGTATTTCTTCCAGTATCAGATTTAAACCTAATGATATTAAATTGATTGGAAAAGCGAGTTGACCTAGAAGTTGCATTTTTAGAGAAAATTTCACGAACAGATTGGCTTGAAGTTTCAAAGTACCCTTTGTGCATTAACATAAGAACAGACTTTTTATAAAAGTAAGAGAAGGGTAGCTAATTTGATTGAATGAGACAGATGTCATCAGCCAGCAACAGTTGTTGGTTGTCAAATTGTCTACAAAAGTCTTTGATTTTAGCTCAAATTATTCACTTTTCCAAGACTTTCCTTTGAAAAAGGCTGCCAGACTTAAAATAGACTTATACAAGACTATTTTCAAGATCAATGCTAGACATTTTTTTAGATCTATGTATGGGCTGCACTTGGAAAGAGATTGAAAAGTTGGCCCAAAACAGTAGGAGGTGGCAGGCAGTTTTCATGGACCTATGCTCCACAGGGAGTGAAAGAGAATAAGCTAAGCTAAGCTAAAGCAAACTAATAAGAACTTCAGTCACAGGGTCCTATACAAGTGGTATGTCTGTTTGTATGTTCAAATTGTAAAGAAATGTATGGGAATATTGAAGAGTCCTAGTATCGTAAACTTATATATAGCAATGCCTATGGTAAAGCTCAAAATAAACATAAACCTAGCTACCTCTGTTGTTGTCAACTGTTGATTCTGAGCCGCAGAATTGACAATTTATATTTCGAACATACAAACAGACACACTGCTTGTATGGGCCCCCTGTGGATTTAGGACTTATCATTGAGATCAGTTAATTAAAATGTCAAGTACCAATGCATTTTTAGCACCAACCTCGTTCCCAGAGTCTCTCATCTTACCGCTCCAGGGGGCGGTAAGATGAGAGACCCTGGGAACGGGGTTGTTTTAGCACCCCCAAGTGTAAGACGGCCAAACAGTTGACGTAGCAACCACAGATACGAGTGTACGATTTACGAGTTTATTAACAAAAATAGCGGAGACAATAAAAACGGGAACAAGTGACGCTGAAATACAAGAAACAAACTAAACAAGCCTAATGCTAATAAAGAGTAAAATTAAGCTTAAAGCTAACTTAGCTAAGAAATAACAAAGTAATTTGGTGCGAATAACAAGACAATTGCAAAAGGAAGATTGCATGACAAAAATAAAAAAAACAGGAAATTGTGTGACAAAAACTGTCAACATTTGTAGAGTATTACATGAAATACAGAACTAAAAAAGGTTCAAGTTAGGGGATTACACAATAGTGCTAAGCTGTGTACAAGCTAGTCACACAAGTACATAATTACAGTGATAAAAACATGCTACAGAAAACATATAAAGGAACAGAAATGAATTTGGATTTGTGCAAACAATCACAAGTAATCAAGAAGGATATGTGGTAAGTGAAAAATACAATATTACTAGGAAAAACTATAAAATAAACGAACAGAGATAAAGCTACTTGCTGTGCTAGACTAAAGGTCAAGAAAGCTAATTAAGGAATAATACTAAACAAAAACACAAAACTAGTAAAGACAGCTAAATAGCGACTGCTAACTGAACTAATGAAATAAAAGAAACAAACTAAACCTAAAGTCTTAAAGAAAAGTACAAATAAAACAAAATAACGCACTAAATACTAGGGGTTATTGAGAATGTAGCATTTGAACTAAACCAGTGCTTGACTTGAGAACTTGAGTATAGCTCAGAATAAACCAACTGAATGAACTGAATTTGCTGAACAAATGGTTCCCAATTTATAACAGATTTGAGGGAACTGTAGGAATAAACCAAATAAGGCTAAGGAGTGTATTTGTTGCCCACGAATACAGGATTTACCTAAGAAAACTAGGAGGTAACTTCTCCTACACAACGGGATTTAGCTCAGAGAAGTGTGTGGGAGTGAATCACCAACACATACCAAAATAAGGTGTGTAAGGAAACCAAACTAATGCAGGAAAATAACCCAAATAGTAAGAAGAAGAATAACACAACACTAATGAAAAATAATTTGAAAATTAGAACTGAAAAGGAACTAAGTGACTTTGTCACACAAGGAACCAAACTTTTTACGTCAAGCAAAATTCAACATTCAAATGTTTGTTGTGAAGTTTTTATAATTCGCGTCAACGGGCAAGAATTTTAATTGTTTAGTTCAACTTTTGAGCCCCAAGGGGATAATTTAGCAATTGTATTAGAGTATAAGAGGATATCTTTAGGTGGGACTGGATGGGTAAGAAGTTAAGAGTCCCTCTTTGGCAAGTCCCCTCCAGTAAATATTGAAGGGATAAGGTAATTATTTCATACATTCGGATGTGTCGAAAACGAAGACCCAAAAACGAAGACCAAAGACCTAAGACCCTCTGGTCTAAAATGAAGACCCACTGGTCTAAAACGAAGACCNAGACCCTGTGGTCTAAAACGAAGACCCACCGGTCTAAAACGAAGACCCATTGGTCTAAAACGAAGACCCACCGGTCTAAAACGAAGACCCACCAGTCTAAAACGAAGACCCACCAGTCTAAAACGAAGACCCACTTGTAGCACATGGTGAATAAATTTGCGAGTAATGCACAGTTGACCTTTGTGCCTTTATATGATAAGGACAGTAAAGCAAAGTAATGAAGTCACCTTGTCGTAATTTGCTCATATGCATTTGAAAAATAGAATATAGGTGACGACAGAATATACTAAAATCGTCACTAACACGTATATTTCTATACTGTTGAAATTTAATTGCGTTACAGAATTTGACACGTGTTGTACCTGCTGAGATAAAGTAACTGTCAAGTTTGTCGTGTACTCAGATGACATTTTAATTTATGCGCTACAGAAGTGAGGGATGCATGTGAGAGTGATTACGTAATTTTCCTGGGAAAATCAAGTTCTTGTAGCACGTGGTGAATAAATTTGCGAGTCACGCACAGTTGACCTTTGCACCTTTATATGATAAGGACAGTAAAGCAAAGTAATGAAGTCATCTCATCATAATTTGCTCATATGCATTTGAAAAAATAGAATATTGGTGACGACAAATTATACTAAAATTGTCACTAAAACATATATTTCTATACTGTTGGAATTTTATTGCGCTACACAATTTGACATGTACCGACTGAGATAAAGCAACTGTCAAGTTTGCTGCACGCTCAGATGACATTTTAATTTATGTACTACAGAAATGAAAGCAATTTAGCCTAGTGTAGAGTCTTTCCTAAAGAAAAAAAAGGTTTCAGACCGGTGGGTCTTCGTTTTAGACTGGTGGGTCTTCGTTTTAGACCAGTGGGTCTTCGTTTTGGACCGGTAGGTCTTCGTTTTGGACCGGTTGGTCTTTGTTTTAGACTGGTGGGTCTTCGTTTTAGACCAGTGGGTCTTCATTTTAGACCACAGGGTCTTAGGTCTTCGGTCTTTGTTTTTGGATCTGCGTTTTCGACACATCCCATACATTCCTAGTTTGGGTTTTGTAAAATGAATGTTTGGAGCTTTTGATGTTTATAGTTTTACAATTGACTTGACTTAACATCTGAATGTCTGAAGATGTCTAGACATGCAACATTTGAGCATAGTTAAATGACAAAAATTTTACAAATTATGCACAGGAAAAGTCCTCCAAACAATTGAACCTGATGGCCTCTCCAACAGACAAGTCTTTCAAAGTCATAACAGCCACTATCCAGAGTATACTAAAGTGGAAACAGTACAGGGACAAGGTGGCTTTACTTTATGAAATTTTTGGTAAGAATGTGTCTTTCTTGTTTTCTCAAAACAGTTTGAGTCCAGCTCTTTCTTTAATAGCGCCTTTGCTTTCTTCATTTCTGAGCCCTCTTTGGGTTAATTGGTTTCTCGTTAGTGATGATCCTTGCTTCGACATCTTGTACTGGTTCAAAAATGTTTTTGCTAACTTAATCGCCGATCATTGGATAATGCAGTTCATGAGTTTTCACTGGTGTAGCCATCATTGCATAAGAGCCATTGTTTCATGCTCTACAAAATATGGTAAGCGTAAGCATACACATATTTTTGGGGGTTGTTCTTATTTTAATTCATAATTTTTAGTTTTCTATATTTTGGGGGGCAATTTTAATAAAGCAATAATTTTTTTATTATTGACTACAGGTACTCTTGTAGTGCTACAAGAGTACCTGTAAGCTTAAAATATATAGGTGGTGGGCACCAAACAATTACTGAAAAATACAAGATATAAAAGATAATACCATTCCAGAAAACTACAAAAAGCCACAGAATGTCATAGTTAACTCAGGAATGTAGAGTTTGATAAAGCATGTGCTGCATGAAGCATTATTATTTTTGGATTTGCCCCACCTCCTACTTATTGTAATTTTACGATAGCAAGAGTGATATAGTCTACTCCTTGCAGAGTTAAATCACACTTTAGGGCAACCCTAAAAGCCGGAATGGTGGAATGATGGAAAATGACCCCAAATCCTAAAAGACAGAATTGCAGAACAGCGCTAAATGACCCTGAATCATAAAAGGCGGAATGGCAGAAAATCCCTCGAAATCCTAAAAGACAGAATTACGGAAAATTTCCCGAAATCCTAAAAGACAGAATGATGGAAAATCACCCAATATCCCCATAAAGGAATTAGAAGAGGAGTTAGGGAAAGTGAAAAAGGCACAGATTTGTGAAATCCCCCCTCCCCGTGTAAAATAATTTCTTTTGTTGTTGTTAAGAATTTGTTACTCTTTAGATTTCTAATGCCAATTCTCATGTAGCTTTCGCATATTGCAGTCGAACAAAGTGACAAAATCGACAATTTTCCATGATTTTAGGGTCAGGTGACGAAACCTGCGTTAACATGGTTGATATTGACAGACTTCCCGTTGATGTTAGTTACATTTCATATTAATTTTAGTTGATTTATACTTTCAAATAATTATTGCAGTTTCATGCAGATTATGCAGTCAAAATTCAGGTGAAGAGCATGCAGATGTACACAAGTTTTAAAAGGGTCAATTAAGTATGCTATTTTGGTTGATTGTTATGGCAATAAATGAGAAATAACTCTGGTCCTTCCGAGTTACATTAATTCTAACAACATGATGTTATATATGAGTAATCCGTACTACCCAAGCTATGTGTTTTCCCTCTTTGCGTCGTATGGCTCAAGAATGCAGCTAACAAACTGAGTCTTCTATCTGGCTTACCTCAGGACTTCAACTCTCACAAGGAAAATGTATGTGTATATAGATGTAAGTTATATATGTTTCTATGTTTTATGTCCTTTTATTTATTTTTTTCTTGTGCATAATTTAGCATGTACAAGTTCCTATTTACCCGTATTGTTTTCCTCGCATTATTTGTTAAATGCTTTCAGCGCTATGCAGGGTAATTGTTCTATTCTGACTCTAAATGTTAGAGGGCTAATAGAAGCCAGCTAAAAAGAAGAAGTATGACTTTAGTTATCTGAAAGACCAAAATTGCCAGTTTTATTTCCTTCAAGAGATCTATTCCAAGCTAAATGATAAAAAGATCTGGACAAGCGAGTGGGGTGGTGACATTTACTTTTCTCATGTATCAACTCAGAGCAAAGGCATTTGTATTCTCATTAAGTCCTCCCTTAGCTTATCATCATCAATAGAAAATTTCAGTAGAGATCAGGATGGCGGGATTATTAATTATTTTCTATTAATTTAGTTTTCAAATCACCTAATCTTTTGTTATGCACTATCTATGCCCCAAACAACTCACAACAACAACAAACATTTTTCCATAACTTAAACAAGTATTTAATGTCCAAAACAGATATAAGCAATCTCATTATAGGTGGAGATTGGAATGTCACACTTCAACTACTTGACTAAAGAGGTGGCGTCCCATGGAAAGATTCTACCGATCAAAACAAACTTATTTCTATGATGGAAGAACTAGAGATAATTGATATCTTCCAAAAACAATGCCCGCAAAAATTAAGCTTCTCATATGAATCCAAAGCACTGAAAGTTTGCTCAAGAATAGATTTCTTTCTTGCTGCTTGCTCCTTCTCCATCTGCATTGTGAACATAGATACTAAGGCCTACCAATGCATCTGACCACTTTCTTTACAATTTTGGGAAGAGAGGTGGGGTCCAGGCCAATGGAAGTTTAACAACTCCTTTGTTGATGATGAAGAATGTGTAAATTGCATTTAAGACAATTACCCCATTTCAGGTGAAAAATACCAAGACCTGGATGATCACAGACTAAAGTGGGAGCTTATTAAAATGGAAATATTAGGGGCCTCACAACTGCCTACTCAAAATTAAACAAAGCCAAAACACAACGCAAATGGAAATCGGATTTGCAAACATGCCAAGAGGAACTAGAAAAAAGGATTTTTGACAGCACCAACGCTGAATTTATCAACGATGCACTAAACAAAAGAGAAATTCTAAAACAACAACTCATTGTATTCTACGTGGAAAAAGCAAAGGGCTTAATACCACATTCTAGAACCAGATGGACAGAAAGGGGTGAGAAACCAACGAAATATTTCTTTAATATAGAAAAGAAAAATTACAACAAAAAAATAGTAGAATTAGAACTGTCGAACAGAAAACATCTGCACAAAGCTGATGAAATAATGAAAGAAATCGAAAACTTTTACAGAGATCTCTAGTATACTTCTACTGGGGGATATTGATGATGACCAGTTTGAAAATTTTGTCCACATGACCTGGAAATACCAAAGCTGCAGGACTTAGAAAAAGAAGAACTAGAAAGAGGAATGTAAAGAAGTTTTAAAAACCTTTTGCAGCAGAAAATCACCCTGTGAGGACGGTTTTTCCTGGGAATTCTACAATTGTTTTTTCGACTTATTGAGTGAGTATCTAATCAATTGCTATAATGCGGCTTATAGAGAAGGAGAAATGTCAACATCTCAGCGCAGAGGTACTATTAATCTTATACTGAAAGAGGATTCAAATTTACTTAGCCTAGCAAATTGGCTGCCGATTACTCTACTAAACTTGGACTACAAAATCACGTCAAAAGTAATAGCCAAAAGATTAGGGATCATGTGTAATTTGTGCACCCCACGACCGATGTATCGGTCGACATGTCGACCGACACTCGGCTGATGTATCAATCAACATACTGACCAACACTCAACCAATATGTCAGACGACATATTGAAAATCACTCGGCCGATATATCGACCGAGATATGTCGGTCGACATATCAATCATCACTCGGCTGATATATGGACCGAGATATGTCAGTCGACATATCAACCGACTATCGGCAGATATCTCAGTCAATATAGCGCCCGATACTCGGCCGATACGTTGACCATTGATTGTCGGCCGAATATTGGTCGACTGTCAGTGGTATATCGGTGGACTGTCGTATAGTATAAGTGAAAAGTTTAGACTGCCAGTGTCAGATTATAAATTATGTGCATTTCATCCTTTTTTGGTCAACCTTAAAAATTTCTGAAGGCTTTATGTTCAGATCATGTGCCACAAATTCAGTTGTTGTCAAGCAAGACACTTAAGTGAAATACTGCCAAATACATGTAAGACGGCCAAAACGGTCGACGTAGTTACGACAGATACGACTGTACGATTTACGAGTTTATTGACAAAATAGCGGAGACAATAACAAAATAAACGGGAACGAGTAACACTGNGTAAGTCGACGACACTCCCAACAGCTTAGGCTATTTTTTATTTTTATTTTTTTTTATTTTGTATCTTTATGGGTCAGTTTTTACAAGGGTGGGGCTAGTGATGCGTATCGTGAGATGAACTTTGCTAGGTATCTGGTCATTCCAAGGAAACTTCTCACAGCTTCTTTTGATTTTGGTGGGCTACTTTCTTTTACAGTTCTGATTTTCTCTGGGTTTGGCTTTAATCTGTCCTTTGTGAACTTGTGTCCATAGAACTCTATCTCCTTGCAGGACTGCTTCCAATGTCTTGTCTTCCTCCATGTTTATTCCTCCTAGCAGGATATCATCCCATTGGTTGAGGCACCTTGTTATGTCTCAAAATATTCAGTAGATAGCTTCATCAAAGAGATCTTGTGATGCTTTTGCTCCAAAGATCAGATGTTTCAGTCACATGGTCCCCCATGGGGTGCGGAAAATGGCAATTTTCCTGGACTCCAGAGTGAGTAGGAGTTGGTGGTACCCCTTCCGCATGTCAAGTTTAAAGAAGAGAGTACAATCATGACATTTGCACATGAAGTCTTCAACGATCATCACCTGGATGATCCTATTTCTGTCCATTAATTGGTTTGGTACCCCGAGGTCCACGCTGGTGCTGATCATGTGTGGTTCAGGTTTTTCCTTGTCTACAGCGTTGAACAACCAAGGGTGAACACCACATGACTGCTTCACCTTCAGGTACCTCCTCGAGTATCTCCTCTTCTACACACTGCCCCAGCCATTTCTTAAATGGTTCTTGCAAGTAGTAAGCCACTGGTGTGAGTCTTTGAGCTACGGACACTGCTTCTTGTTTTTTCATGCTGAACTTTGTGTAAGACGGCCAAAACGGTCGACGTAGTTACGACAGATACGAGTGTACGATTTACGAGTTTCTTGACAAACAGCGAAGACAATAACAAATAAACGGGAACAAGTAACACTGAAATACAATAAACAAGCTAAAATAAGCCTAATGCTAATAAAGAGTAAAACAAGCTAACTTAGCTAAGAAATAACAAAGTAATTTGGTGTAAATAACAAGACAATTGCAATAGGAAGATTGCATGACAAAAGTAAAGAAACAGGAAA